TGCAGTCACGTGGTTGCCTGTTCTAGGCCTTGTAGTCTCTGAAGAGTTGACTAGGACTGTAGAGAATACTTTCAGGCTCATTCATACAGCTTTCGACAAGAAATTCTTTGCCACATGGGCTGCCATGACATGAGAGAGAAAGAATATGCAACAGAGAGAGAAAAAGTAAGGCACAAGCCAAGACCTTTTATAAAGCAATTTCAGACCAACCTTGGTACTATGGGGGCACCATGGAAGGGTGTGACCTGGCAAGGATCACTGAATTCCATCTTTGAGCCTTCAATGGGTATCACAACCCATCCTATGGCCCCCCAATGATTCACATTCCTCTAAAAACACAAAAGTTCACACATTCCTGAGACCCACAAAAGTTTTGGGGTTTTTTTTTTGGGGGGGTTGCAGTTTTTGACTGGGGCTGGGTTTGAACCCAGCACCTCCAGCATATGGGGCCAGTGCCCTACTCCTTTGAGCTACAGGTGCCACCTGACCCACAAAAGTTTTATCCTATTACAGCATTAGCTCAAAATCCACCTAAATTTACCCTAGGTATAGCCAAGATATGTTTCAATTTTTTAACTATGTTGTTTCTTAAATATAGTCCCTCTCAATCTGCAGGCTGTTAACTAAGGAGACAAGTTATCTGTTCCCAACACAGCTAACTTACAGTGGTAAGACAGGATAGGACAGTTGCTGTATTCTTGCTCAAGAAAAAGGAAAATGGGAGGAACACAGGAGTCAGTGATCCACATAAGTCCTAAAATTCAGCTGGAACAATGTCTGAAGTTCCTTCATTAAGACTTAGCCCTTCTTATGCCCAAACAGTATTACTCTCCATGACTCTGGGCTCTACTGTGTGGGTCCTTGGTACTTCCCTTTGAGGCATCCTTGCTTTTCCATGAAAGGTAGCACATGTTTGTAGCTGGCTGATACTCTCAGCTTGCTTCCTGATTATAGAAACTTGGTGTCTCTATTCATTTTGTATTGTCTCTGTACCTTTCTGTACAAGCTAAAAGATGTTTGGCTGCTATAATTCTCTTAAAAACTTTGTGCATCTCCTATGAATCTTATTAGGGATTCACACCTTTAGACAAAAGCTATACCCCCAAATCACCTTGGGGTATTGAGAAGGCTGGAGCGTAATGCCCTTAAGATTCCTAGATGCTCTATGTTTTGATTAGGAGCCTGTGAGATATACCCTCTCAGAAGGACCTTTTGCATGACTGAAGACTCACCTTTGATCTTTCTCAATTCTTAAAGGATTTTATAATCACCCCTTGGATGCTAATCTTATGCATAGATTATGCATTTCTGAGTGTTTCCAGAATTATAATCTTTGCTTTAAAGCTATTTTTAAATTTTTAAACTTTAGCATTATTTCCTTCTATGGGTTAAATTGTGTCCTCCAAAAGGATATGTTGAAGTACCCCTAGTACTTGTCAATTTGACCTTATTTGGAAATAGGGTCTTTGTAGAAGATAGGGTCTAGTTAAGATGAGGTGAATAGAGTGGGCCCTGATCCAACACTGGTGGTGTTCTGATAAGAAGAGAAGACAGAGATACACAGGGAGACGTCACATACGCTGCCATGTGATGACACAGGCAGGGAGGAAAGTGATGCAGCTACAGGCCTGGGAATAGCAAGAATTGCAAGAATTGCAGTAACCAGAAGACTAGGAAGAGGCAAGGAGACTTACCAGAGTCCCCAAGGAAGCATAGCCCAGAAGCCACCGTGATTTCACACTTTTGGCCTCCAGAACTGTGAGGGAATAATTTCTGTTGTTTTAAGTCGCCTCATTTGTGGTGCTTTGTTACAGTAGCCCAAGGTAATTAATGTATTTACCTCATGGAGAGCTCAGGAATCTTCAAAGCCACATCAAATCCAAGTCTCATAATATTAAACTCTCTTCGCCTTATCTCTCTCTTCTGCACATTACTATAAGCTACAGTAAAAAGGCAGGCAGTATTTTCAACATGAAATTTCAACTGGATCACTTAGTTGATTGGGTACATTTTCTACTTTCCACATAACTGCAGGCAACAGTGTTACTGCGTTTGTACCACTACATAATGAGGGCCCCCTTCCTGTTGTTTCCAATAATATTTGCCTCACTTTCCTGAGAGTCCTCACTGGTAGTTTTATCAAAGACTGTATGGCTTCTACTAACAATTTCTTTAAAGAATTTTGGGTTTCCACTCATACTCTTCCCAAAGCTCCCTGCTCAGTCCCAAAGCTGCACCCAAATCTTGGATTTTTTTTGCACAGGCACCTATCTTTCAGGTCCCCAAATCCAATTAGTCTATTGCTATGTAATTGACCCCAAATTCAGCTGATTAAAACAACAGCATTCATTATTCACATAGTTTCTGAAGGGCAGAATTCAGGAGCTGGTGCCAGCTCCAGGTCTCCTATGAGGTGGCAGCAGGCTGTCACGTCCCATGCTGCCATCTCTGAAGCTCTGACTGGGGGTGCAGGACACACTTCCGAGGTTACTCGTGTGATTGTGGACAGGAGGCTTCAGTTCCTTGCCACATGGGACATATTTGTGACATGGTTTTTCTCATAGTGAGGGGTGAGAGAGAGAGAGCACAGCATGAGCGACAGAGTGACCAAGATGGAAATCATGATGCTTTTTCTGATACAATGCAGAAGAGGACTACCCAAGGGGATGGCTTTCAGGAGGTGGGCTTCTTGAACCATTTTAGAAGCTAGATACTACAGATAATATGTCATTTGACACATACAAGCTCATAATTATACTGCTTTTGAGTTCTATTTTATTTTAAAGATTAATATTGTCAGCTGTTACAGGCTAAATTGTGACCTTCTGAAGTCACAGGCTGATATCTCAATCCCCATTATCTCAGGGTGGGACTAAATTTAGAGGTGAAGGGTCTTTAAAGAGGTGATTAACTTAAAATGGGGCTGTGAGGGTGGGGCCCTAATTCAATATGACTGGGGTTCCTATGAGAAGAAAGGCCAGCAGGGCTGTGGGTGCACAGATGGACAACCATGAGAGGCAGCAAGACGTTACAATCTGCAAGATAGGGAGAGAAGCCTCAGAGGAAAGCAAACCCACTGGCACCTTGATCTTAGGCTTGTAGCTCCCAGAACTGTGAAAAAACAAATTCCCACTGTTTAAGGCACCTAGTCCATGGTATTTAGTTACAGTGGCCCTAGCTAACTAATATACCAATCTTCTAAAAGATACCTGAAACTGTCTTGCTTTGCCCAATGTGTATTTACTCACCTTTTTAAAACCAGTTAAAAGTCATTTTTTGTTTTGATGTATATAATTATATACCAATGCATATAATTAGATTTGTCTCTATACAAAATGTGCAATTTAATCTAATCTGAGAGTCTATGCTTTTCCTAGGAGGATTGAAACCTCTTTGATTTCATATCATAGCCCATTTTAAATCTAACCCCTCACCTTCCAGAGTGGGAGCTGTAGGGATTTATGGCCTTCTACTTGATGGAAATGTGTCAGAAGCTGCCTCTCCAGTGCTTATTGTGGGCTGAGTGAAGAGATCACTTGATCGTATTGTAATGGAACTGTTGTTTTTAAGGAATTACCAGATCAACTCAGTTCAACATCAAAGCATTAATTTTCCAGGGAGGAAAAGGGGTCTTGAACTAAACTAAATTAGAAGAGACAAAGGGGATATCACAATTAATAGGAAGCAGATTTCCCTGGAGAAATTCTCCAACCAAGGAGCAACTGGCAGTGGAGACTGGTTAACCAGTCCCAGCCACGCTGTGTACACTTAGAGGACCAGCACTGGCGTGTGTTCGAGCCCTCTGAGAACATTCTCTCTGACCTGTCTTTCTTCTACTGTCTTGGCAACCTAGTTCACAATTCTGTTCTCTGCTTGCACTTACAGCAAGTTTTCCCTTGGTTCCATCTTTGTCTTATTTTGGCTGGCTCCACATTTGATAGGGGGAGTATACATGGAATGACTTACACCTACCTGAATGTGTTTCTAGGGTTTGGCAAAGCCTCCCCTCAGATCAATGCCTGCGGGATGAGTTGATTTGTAACTTATCCTGGGGGATGAGTTACAGCCCCAGCCCAAGTTCCAGCAGGTTCTCAGCCACAAGGCAGATCTTGACTGCTTCCACAAGGGCAGATCTTGACTGCTTTCTGTTTCCAGGAATGTTCTGCCTTCAAAGCATTTCCAAAGAGAATGCCCATCCCCAGGTGTCCTGTATCCCCTTCCCTTCTACATCCCGCACCACTCCCTACCCAGTGTGTCTGGTACTGGGAGATTGAAATTGATATAAAAAGGGAAGAACTGGGGGTGGAGAGTTGCAGGGGCCCAATTCTGGCTCTCGTGGGACTGCCTCCCAGGCAGAAGGAGAGCAGCAGCCTGGATTCTGGTTATGGCGGACCTGAGCCCCTGAGCCTGAATAGAGAGTGACAGGAGTAAAGCCCGGGGTCCTCTGTGTTGGATCAGATGATGAAACACATACTGCTGGGGTATGAGGTGTTTCCTCAAACCACCACATTGCCACTGTACTGGCTGGAAATTCTCTCTAGATTTCTATCAATTCTTATACAAGGTGTTATGTTTTTGCAGAGCTTCCTGGGTATTTTAATAAGAAATAGAGGGCATCTCAGATTAACCCAATGCTAAGTTTTACATATGCCTGATGCAGTTCCCCCCACCCCCAGACTAAAGTATTCATTATACATTTAAAACAATGAATTTTAAATTCCAGTAAGGGCTAAACGTCACTCCACTCATCAACTCCCATGGCATCTAAATAATACTTGTGGGTAAAATTCTAAAGGACGACATTGAGGGGGATAAAGAGTAGCATCCTGGCCTCCAGGGCAAGAAACCGTGATGCAGGCTGGCGGTAAGAACTCTAGCCATTTCCCGAAGCTTGTAATTAAGCTGACTCATCTTCTACTCAATTTAGTAGATAATTCACCAATAAGCATATGCCTTAAACATATGTCAAAAGGAAAGAATGCAACACAATGTATATTTACCTTATAATAAATTCTGGCCACCAAACCTCGCTGTAGAACCCTTTCACGAAAATTCACTGCTTTCAACAGAAAGGCGAGATTACCGACTGTGTCCACGTTAAATGCCAGGAAACTGAAGGAAAAACACAAGGACTGTCATGATTACTTTGGCCTCACCAAAGAATTTCATTTGAAAGAAATGGCAGGGGGTTCAAGAATTTTCTTCCCACAGAAAAATAGTGGAAAAGCACATAATCTCCCCATCTTATCTCTCACTGGTGCTTCTTTTCAGCATTTTCTGGTGACTGCTTGCCTCTAGTTCATTCTATGTGATTGTCCTTGTGATACAGAGATAATTTGGTTTCCTGCTTTTTCCACTTATAAGTCATGTTCACTATTTTACATAGCCTTTCTTCATTAATAAAAGCTATATAATGATAATAATTTACTCGACCACTGTTGGACATGTTTTATAGTTACTAAAACTGGTTATTAATAATAAAACATATCTGTTACAAAGTATCTGTCAATGAATTGTGTATCTGCTGTGTATTTGCTGTGAGTTATTCAATATTCTCAATAATTCTGTGATGCCGTAATTATCAAATGGAGAGTACAAGAAACTGAGGCTCAGCAAGCTTCGGTAGGTTGCTCAAGGTGATGGGGCAGAATGCAGTCAGCGTGGGTTTTGTCCTAGAGGACACCAGTATTTGAGAGAAGAGGCGCTACAGGCAAGCCCAGGGTAAAGTGTGCCTTAGGCATGGTGACGTTCCTCAACTGGGAATAATTTCCAACATCCATTTTTGGAAAATGAGGAAATGGAGGTGGGGGTGGAGTTAAGAACTTAAGCATGGCGTGGTGCCTGTGGCTCAGTGAGTAGGGTGTCAGCCCCATATGCCGAGGGTGGTGAGTTCAGACCCAGCCCCCGCCAAACTGCAACAACAAAATAAATAAATAAAGTTTAAAAAAAAAAAAGAACTTAAGCATGAACAGACTCTAAACGACCAAGTTTCCCAAAAGCCTACAGACTTTTCATAATGCAACTCTGCCTTCTGTGCTAATTTTGTGCCGTTCTACACCGTGAACTTTTAGGTAACCTTTACAAACATGTAAGGCATTAATTACCACTTAGGGTATCCCAAGGGTAAGAGACCTCTCCCAAGAGGTCTCTTGCCCTCACTTTCCTCATATTCTGGGGAAATAAATTATTATAGGGCCCAAATAACTTAAATTTCCATTAACTAAAATATTTAAAAAACCCAAATAGTTGTTGGTTAATCAGAAAGCAAGAGAGAAACGTTAAGAAGCAATGGATGGGCTCTGTGCCTGTGGCTCAAGCGGCTAAGGCGACAGCCACATACACCTAAGGTGGCGGGTTCGAATCCCCAGCCCGGGCCCGCCAAACAACAATGATGGCTGCAACCAAAAAATGGCCGGGCGTT